CAGCTGGCTGCTGCGAGCGACCGGCTGCACCTGCGTCTGTCGCTGGCTGCCGATCAGCTCTCCTCCCTGCTGCAGCAGCAGCCCAAGCAGCAGCAGCAGCAGCAGCAGCAGCAGCAGCAGGTGGCGTACTGGTACAGCTTTGCCACGCGGGGGCCCCGCCGCGGAGGCCTCTGGGCCTGGTGGTCCATTTTTGGATATTTCGTTTCTTGTCTTTGCTTCAATGCTGCAGCACTTCTCAATGCTGCGCTTCTTGCTGCTGCAGCAGCCAACACCCAGCCAGTAAGCAGCAGCAGCAGCAGCAGCGGCAGCAGTAGCGCAGCAGGGGCAGCAGCGCAGCGGTAGCAGCAGTAGCAGCAGCGTAGCAGTAGCAGCAGTAGCAGCAGTAGCAGCAGCAGCACTAGCAGCAGCAGCAGCGCAGCAGTAGTAGCAGTCGTAGCAGCAGCGTAGCAGCAGGAGCACTTGCAGCAGCAGCACCTGCAGCAGCAGCAGCGCAGCAGCAGTAGCAGCAGCAGCAGTAGCAGCAGCGTAGCAGTAGCAGCAGTAGCAGCAGCGCAGCACTAGCAGCAGCAGCAGCTGCGCGTTAGTAGTCCGCGAAGCCCTAGCTGCCCCAACCCTAGCTCTAAACCCTAGGCCTGCTAAACCCTAAACCCTAAACCCTAAACCCTAAACCCTAGCCCTGCAGGCGCCAAAGCCTAAGCCCTCGAGCAGCTTCGCCGCAGCCCCCAACCCCAAACCCCCACCCTAAACCCACCCCCAACCCCCAAAGCCTAAACCCTAAACCCTAAACCCTAAACCCTTGCGCGCAGGCGGAGGAGTCTTTGGTGTACGTGCTGACGGAGCGCAGCAGCAACAGTGCTGCTGCTGCGCTGCTGGCAGCAGCAGCACCTTGCGTGTCTGCGCCTGTGTGGGAAGAGCTGCTGTACCGAGGGTTTTGTCTGCCGCTGCTGCACCGCTTTGTGTCTCTTCCTGCTGCTGTTGCTGCTTCCTCGCTGCTGTTTGCTGCTCACCACTTGCAGCCCCACACTTTGCTGCCGCTTGCTGCTCTTGCTGCTGCGTGGGCCCAGCTGTACATACACTCCAGCTCGCTCGCTGCGCCCGTTGCAGTCCACGCCATGTGGAACGCCAGGGTCTTCCTCACCAGCTTCTTCAGACTCTAATCTAGGGTTTAGGGTTTAGGGTTTGGGCTTTGGGGCTTGCGGCTTCGGGCGTCGGCCTTCCCCGCAACAGCAAGACCTCTGCAGCTGCAGCAGCAGCAGC